ATATTTCGTTTAATTTGCGGGATCCCTGAAGCACGAATCTCCCCCGCCCCCCCCCCGCCCTCTCTCCGGCGCTGTCCGTGGTGCTGAAGCCGGGCTGCCGGGGCGCAGGGGCGGGCTGCATCTCAGCGCCCGCGGCTCTTCTGCTAGCACCCGCAGCTCAGATCCTCGATTTACAAGCTGATCTCAGCCCCCACCAGCTTTCCCCCTCCCCACTTCACGAGGTGGGCGAGGGCACTAGTGCTCCGAAGCCCTCCTGCCCCCTCCCGCTTAGAGCACGTCTCCACCGTGTTAGCGGCCCCCGCCTCTGTCCGGTCTGCTAAGGACCCGCTGGGGACACGGCCCGGGGGGGCATCCGCGCAGTTCCTGCCACACCAGTCTTTGATCGCCTCGCCTATTACTTCGGAAGGGTGCTGCGGCTCTGGAGCTCAGCTCCCGGGATCCAGCATGCCCCAGTCCTTCTTTGCCTCCCTCCAGCCTCCGGGCTCCCTTTCCTCCTCCTACCCCGCGCCCAGCACCTGCTCCTCGGGCTCTCGCCGGCCACGGGCTGGACACTAAGCACATTTCTGGCTTGTAGGGAGCTTTGCTATCTGCCAGAGCGGACAAGCACAACAAGAACGCGACAGACTTACAGGTCCCCCGCCCCCCATCTTCCTCCCCCGAAACCAGGTCGTTTGATAAATGCCAGCTCCGACTCTAAAGCAACCCTCGCCCAGCCTGAAAGACCTGATTTCTGGCAGGAGCTATAAAAGATTCATTAAAAGAATCAAAATATTCTTCCCGCTTCTATTTACAAATATATGAGATCCGGATGCAATTTAAGATCAGTAGTGATTTTTTTTTCCTAAGAGAAAGAAAAACCCAGCAAGCATACTTTGCCAATAAAACGTTAAAATCTTTTTTAATGAAAGACAATTCAACAACATTGGAAATAACCGAACACATTACTCTAATAAATAAAGCTTCTAGTAACAAAAAACCCCAACGAAATCGTATCATGTACAGAACTTAAAGACTTCAAATCGTCTCAAATAGAACAGCGATACAGCGAAATCTGTAAGAATATATCTATATGTGCGTCAATTCGAATGAAATATTTACAAAACATCGAGGTACCAGGATTCAAGTACCTTCATTTTGTTCTTGTTGTTCCAAAAGAATTGTACCAAACGATGTGAATTTACAAGCAGTGCACTGTCTCTCTCTCTCTCTCATTCTCTCTCTCTCTCTCGCTTTTAAATTTAAATTTGGCTTTTCTACAAACAAACCTCCAAAGGAAAAAAAAAAGGTTCTCCTCAATGTAAAAGTATTGCAGTAAAAAGAACTAAAGAAAAACCCAGCTGCTCTGAACACAGTTAGTTGTGAACGAGCTCTGAAATTCAGAAGGATAAATACTGTGATGGAAAGAAACCTGAAGCAGCAAAACCCCACACTGGCACCTATTCAGCCACTTCTTCTCTCGCCTTAGGAGTGTGTGGTGGGGACAATATGGGAATCCCCATTAAATATGTAACGCAGTAAACAAATACCTCGGACAGTGAATCAGGCTACACAAATAATGTAGACATCTACCATGGAGTGCCAACGCCTTACAAATAAGAAATACTTGCCAGAGAAAAAATCTTAGTTTCAGGTGACAATTTACAGATGGCCAAAAGGGATTTTTTTTTTTTTGTAAGAAGAAAAATGCTTAAGTTCATAAATTCTACCAACACAAAATGTTTGATTTGCACTATCCATATCATTTTTTTTTACTTTTATCAAGACTTAGATTAAAGAGGTGTAATTAATTAGAATGAGCACAAAATGAAGTTGCTAGAGATAAATTAATAATTTACAAGGGGTTGTTTGGCAATAATCTAATAATAGCTTCTGAAGACCAGTGAGCACAGCAGGATCAGTTCTTTCCCTAAGCATTATAACTTCAGAGAAGGAAAAGCATAATAACCACAGTAAAAATATATATATATTTATAATATGCAGTGTAAATGCAGAAAAACCTGCCATCTTTTTTTTTTTCTTAAATCAAAATACTTTTGAGATGAATCTCTACTGGTAGAAGCCTCAGCTCTAAAGTTTCAGTCTGGAGTCAATTTATTCTCTGAAAAATAGCTGCAAAGTGTACTTTTTTTTAAATGTGAACATAGGTGATGTCTTTAAGAATAAAAACAAATCTTACTTGGTACGTCTTCGGTCCTTTAAAAAGGATTTCTGATCTGCCTTCAACAAGTCAGTCTCTGGGTGATACTGAGTCACTGTGAACAAGCAGGGGGTCTCTCCAAGGGGGAACTTTCCTAAACTTGACAATTTACTTCTTGTTTGCCAGTCTCTTTCTCTCTCTCCCTAGGTCTTTTTGCCTCTGTGCTTCTCTGCCCCTCTCTCTCTCACTATAGCGAATCATTAAAATGTGTCTTGTTGTTGATTTTAGTTTTTTTGTTTTATTTTATTTAAAAAAAAAACAAAAACAAAAAACAAGAAAGCAAGCCAGCCCCCGGAGACTTTAAATCCCAGCGGAGTATTTCATTCGTTTCTGTTTCTGTCTCTGGTTGCAGAACCAGACCCGGACCACGTTCTTCTTGAGGTCGAGTTTCTCCGCGATGGCCGCGATTTTTTCCGAGGAGGGACGGGGCTGGATGGCGAAGTAGGCTTCCAGGGACCTTTTCTCGGGAGCGGCGATGGAGGTGCGCTTCCTCTTCTTCTCCGCCCCGTTGAAGAGCTCGGGCTTGGTGAGCTTCTCCCGGTGAGACTTCTCCGCCTCCTCCAGCCAGGCTTGCAGGATGGGCTTGAGGGCGATCATGTTGTTGTGGGACAAGGTGAGGGACTCGAACCTGCAGATGGTGCTCTGGCTCAGGGAGCCCACGCCCGGGATCTTCAGGTTGGCCAGGGCAGAGCCCACGTCCGCCTGGGTCACCCCCAGCTTGATCCTCCGCTGCTTGAACCTCTCGGCAAAGGCTTCCAAATCCCGCGGATCCGCGTCCACGTCGCTCATGCAGCCCATGTGAGAGGGCAGCCCGTGGGCATGGGCCATGCTGAGAGCCGCCTGGTGCATATGGTTCATGCTGGCCATGTGGGGAGCGTGGGCTGGGGTGGACACCACCGAGCCGTCCGGTCCCGTCATGGCCCCGAGCGCCAGCCCGGGCGTGAGGTGGTCTAAGAGCTCCCCTTCCAGCGCCTGGTGCGGCTGGTGGTGGTGGTGGTGATGGTGGTGGTGGTGGTGCGCGCCGGCCAGGGCGGACGGGTGCGAGATGGGCACGGAGGAGGAGGAGGCGGCCGAGGTGCAGGGGATGGTGTTCATGGTGTGGTAGGTGGCGTCCGGCTTGAAGGGGCTGTGGTGGGGCGGGTGATGGTGGTGGCTCTTGCCCGGGGACACGATATCCACCGCCGCCAGAGCTTCCGCGCGGGCCAGCAGGCTCTCGTCCAGACCGCCGAATATATTGCTCTGCAAGGGCAAAGACAAGGCAGCGTTACTGGCAGCGGGGGACTCGCCTCCCTCCGCGCCCGGCCCGGCCCGGCCCTTCCCAGCCTCCTCCCAGGTCATCAGCATTCACGGGGGAGGATAAGGCGAAGATCAAGGGGCCGGGGCGGCGGGCGGCGGGCGCCGGGCGCGGGCGC